GGGTTGATGTTATCTTCTCACAAGCAACAGTTAATTTGACCAGAAGCCGTTCACTTAACAACAAGATATTGTCTTAAAAGCTAGAACAGGAGCAGCCTGAGCTCTCCCGGTCTGACAAGTCTACCATTATCAACCTACCCCATTGTATATGAGGTATTTGCGAGGTATCACTCTGAAACAGGTTTTAAAGTTACACAGAGAGTAAATATGGGATAACAGAATCACATTTATTCCAACAGTGGAGTTTGCATGTTCTCCCCATGCCTGTGTGGGTTTTCTCCGAGCACACCGTTTTCCTCCCGCATTCCAAAAAACACGCAAGGCAGGCTGATTAAACGCTCTAAATTGTCTCGAGATGTGAGTGTGAACGTGAATGGTTGTTTGTCTCTGTGTTCCCTGCGATTGGCTGGCAACCGGTTCAGGGTGTCCACCGCCTGCTGCCCTAAGACGGCTGGGATAGGCTCCAGCACCCCCGCGACCTTTGTGAGGAAAAGCGGATCGGAAAATGGATGGAATTGGAGCATCAAAAGCTAGAAAGCCTGACATAGGTTTTGCATTGATTATTTCACTTTTTTTTTTTTTTTTTTTTTACTTTCAATTAAAGAATTTGAGATCCAGTGCTTGTACCATGGCAGTGAATTCAACTCACCTAACAACAAGCAGCAGTTTGGCATATAGTAAACAAATATTTCCCCCACAAAAACTTCAACGCTGTTTAATGGCATGTGGCGATGAAATTTACTGTCAAAGTAATTACAAAACAAAAGAAGTTACAGTCCGTTCATCTTAACTAACAAGGCTAGCAATGATGCAAAGCGCCATAGACAAGCTAACAAACAACAATGGTGTCTTAACCCATTAAGCTCATATCTTACTGAGCGGTGAAGGGTCAATGTTGCAAAGACGTTCTCCATACATTCCCAAATAGTTTTAATGGTTGCAAAGAAGTTTTCTTGTCACCGTCAAATTTTGCAACCTTGAACAAACCCTGACGAAAAAGCATTCACTAGGTGCGGCACACGCTTGCGGACCTTCGCCACTGAGTGAGATATAGCCTTTAAGCAGCGGAAATGTCAACACAATCGGATATGACAATACTCACAGGCATAATATTATTTAATCTTTATGAAGTATGACTAAAATTACTGTGGTTTAAAACGTTTTATGACGGTACAATAATTTATAATGTATCTTCCCGCTGACGATATACAGTATATGTTCCGCTTGAAGAATAAGAAAACCTTTATTGTCTCACAATGGAGAAATTTGCCATGTACAGCAGCAAAGTTCGGAGGGAAGAAGTAGAAAAAGTAGAAAAACAAGTATTTGCATGCAAAAAATCATTTAAAAAAATGAACGATATAAGCATTTTGGACGACTGGTTGATTTGGTGATATACTGTCCATGACTTTCAATGAGCAGTAATGTTAGTGAATCTTAAAAATTATCTTAAAGAGACCCTTAGAGGCCAGAATAAATGTTTTATTTGCTTGTATGCACTCTTGGGAGTACGCTGCGATGCGACCCTGTCAAAAGCAAAAAAGGTAACCACAGCTGCATTGAGTTGTTGGATGCACAAATTTGCATTCATTTGATTGCCTGTTTTGTGACACCGGGTGCATTTTATGAAATGCTGCTTCCATGAGTGAAAATCGTTTTATTGTCGCTGCAAAAGTTTATTTTCTTTCCACGCTCTTTTTGTGTGTGTGTGTGTGTGTGTGTGTGTGTGCGTGTGCGTGTGTGGGGTACTTGCAACCCACTGAGCTTGTTGTGTAACAAACGTCTAGCTCCATTCAACCAAATCGCAATGCCCTTATAATAGCACATTGTTTTGCAGCAACAACAACAACAAAAAAAACAATAACGCACCCGCCACCCGTCCCATTAGTGGCCGAGATTACATGGATTTATTGCCCGCTTGTGTCGTTTCCACTCCCAGTGGAAGGTCCGCTGCAAGGCTTATCGAGCCGACGCATGCAAATGGCAGATCACGTCACGCCTCACATGGCTTTGCCACTGGCAACTGCCAAAAACACACTTGCCACGACATTAGGTGCACCTGAACTGGCTGCAATCAGATCCAATGCAGGCGCTCTTTTGTAGAATCACCGTCGAGTAACACGACGCTTCATTCAGACAAACTGAACATCGATCTTTGTTTCTATAGGCAGAATTTCTGATTTCACTGTAATGTGTAGGTTTGCAATAAGATGTATCTCTGGCCAGCAATTCTCACACAGCTTTATGAGGATTTTACTTATTTTATTATTTCAAGGCACTACAGGATAAAATGGCGTTCAAAATGAGATTAACGCGGTAATCCTTCAAACAAAGACCTCTTTCCTCACAAAAAATACTTCATACCAAAAAAAAAAAAAACAACAACAGTAAAATTATAACCTCATGATTGTTATAAACCAGATCTGTGAATAATGCAGTATGTCCCTGGTGCAAAAAAGAAAAAAAAACTTTCCATTTTGGGATTTTATGTAAACAAAAAACACACGGAACCAAAGAGCAGATTATCATCATGCCAAAATGGCCAAAGGCGGGCAGGCTTCTGTGAACTGCGTGCGTCAGATATGGTTGCTAAGAGGCCAAAGAGCCCAACGAGCGATCCAGGGAGCCGCTGCTGCTTCCGCCAGCGTTCAAAGAAGAGGCCGAGGCGCGGCGCATCATCGTGTCCTGGTCCATCTGTGAGAAAGCACAATCCGCGCTTTATTGAAGGACAAAAGACGGGGGATTTATTTGGATATTTTCCAAACATTAATTGCTCACCTTGGTCAGACCTTTTGCGATCAGGGCGATTTCGGTGGGCTGGTACACGCAGCTTCGCAGTTGACCGTTATAAGCGCCGTATGGTGACACAGGCTTTGATGGCACTGGTGATGAACGACAGCAGAAAGAAAATGCGTTCAAAACAAACACAATATTGAAGACGAAAGTGTCTCGACAGTCAAGTCAAACTCGATTTATCAATGGCGAAGCAGAGTTTCACACTCCCCAACTGCATCTATGTCAGTTGCCATCAACTCCAACCTCTTTCGTGTCTAACAACCTTTGACTTGAAACCTGACTTCAGCCACATCACACATTCTATTTTCCCACTTCAGTCCATTTGCGGAAGTTTAATCTACTTAGATGAGTGATCAGATTCCTATGGGACCCACCGTGCACGAAAATGGCGACCACAGAATAATCGGTTGTGAAACAAGCAATTGGCAAATCCTTTCGCTGGTAAAATTAACAGCAAAATGATTTTTTTTCCCACAAGGCAGCCCATGTTCACATTGCCCAAATATTGTCCAATAGAAAACCAATGGCCCCAGGTAGGGATGCAATATACTGGTTAATTGACGGTAAACTTATCCATCCATTGGAATTTTTGAAATGGTAAAATGAATAGTAATTAACTGGGGATTGAGGGCTATGTAGCAAAAGGTATAATATGGCTCCTGTTACCTGTTGGAGGTTCTTCCATTGTGAAGGCTTTATTTTCCATGTACACAGTCTGGCGGGGTGGCTCTGGCTCCTTGTGAATGTTGTCGAACACCAAGCTCCTGGCAGGGTAGATGTGGTCGCCATCATGGGGGGGCTCCAGGTCCGGATCCCGCTGTGTCAGTAAGCAAATCTCCGGGATGGCGTACAGGAGTAGGAACACCCACGCGTTGGACACCACAGCTACAGCCAGGGTGGGATCGTCCCAGCTCGCGTCTCCCAGCGCTCGGTTCCCACTGACGTACATAGCGATCCAAGCCATCCAGATGGCCACGGTGAAGAGGCCAGAGACCAGGATGAAAGCTGCGTCTCGGCGCCACTGCTTGTGCCTGTGCGTTAGCGAGGGCACGGACATCAGCACGGCGGCGAGCAGCAGAACCATCACGTAGATCAGCGCCATGACAAAGTCCTGGTTGGCAAAGTCGCAGGACAGCTCGGAAGCATCCGTACCGCTCGGTGGGTTCCGGACCACGGTGATGAGGAGCCACTCGGTGTTGATGATGACCTCCACTAACCAGAGCCCGAGCGCCCCCAGGCACAGCATCCAGCTCCCGGGGCCCCGGCCGCGCCTCCGCAGCAAGACGAGCCACAGCCCGTGCATCACCAGGCAGGCCAGGCATCCCGAGAACAGGACGCCAAAGAGGAACCTCCGTGCCACGCAACTGGTGGAGTCGCGGCCCACCACGAAGGCGAAGGCTAGCCCAAAGAGTCCCAGGGTGGAAATGAGAACGCCGGCCTGCAGGGCCACCGTGCCTTTCCTCTCCTTGTCCGTCACCAAGGGCAGGCAGGCCATGAGGATGACGAACAGCACGAAGGAGGTCAGCACGCCGGCGGCAGCGACGGCCTCCACTACCACCCCCCACGCGGCCGCCAGGTCACACAGGTTGTAGTATATGGAGCCGATGCTGGTCCCGCATCCTCTGGGCGGGCCTGTCAATGCCATCGTTTTCTTGAAGGTAAGATGCTGCAAACACAAAATACCGTATTGGCCCGAATATAAGACCGTGTTTTTTTGCATTGAAATAAGACTGAAAAAGTGGGGGTCGTCTCATATTCGGGGTCTAGACATTATACCCATTCACGACGCTAGATGGCGCCAGATATCAATGAAGCGAATGCTGAACTTGACTCCCCAGGTCAAAGTGAACCCCTGCCACGAAGAATAAAAATAAAAATAGCGGTAGTACGAAGAAGAAGAATTAAAAATAGCAGTAAGAAGGAAAAGAGAAGAAAATTATAGAAGAGATAACAGAAAATGGAGAAATGTAGCGACAATCTGGAGAAAAGTGGGTCAAAGATCGGCCAGGTTAACCGGCAGCTGAGGGAAGTTATGATGTAATTTACATTTCAAAAACCAGAAGCCATTCATTTACGAATGTGATTGCACTTTAGATTTGTATGAGGCAAAATAACATGCTTTTTCTCTCAAATATATTGTTATCATCATTTGTTTCAGATGTACTGTAATTAGTTTCCGTATAAAAATTAATCTGGTGTTCAAAAAGTCGTTTTTCAAACTTGAGTCTTGAAAAAGAGGGGGTCGTCTTATAATCAGGGCCGTCTTATATTCGGGCCAATACGGTAGTCACTTATGCAAAACACGACCAGGGCTTCTGAGGTCAGGGTTTGTCATAGCTAGCGTTAACTAGCGAAAACATCTGTCGCGATCTGCACACATGAATATATCTAACACTCAGACTCTGGTGAGTGGTGATGTATTTTATTGACTTGGTCGTGTTAATTGGTAAATATTTGGTTCTGAACTGTCTCAGATGCTACTATCATCTTGCACCTTTGTATAGTATTGATGCTTTCTACTAGAGAGGGGTGAGTAGCGATACTATGTACAGTCATACCTCGGTTTTCGACCATAATCTGTTCCAGAAGGCTGTTTGAAAACCGATTTGTTCGAAAACCGAAACCACGCTCTATTTAAAAAAAAACTTTATTGAACACGTCTGCTCACAATGGAACGCTACACGAGGAAGCGTCACTTCCTCGTGTAAGGAAGACGAGAGGAGTCGAGTGGTGCATTCAAATGCGCTCAGTTTAGTCGAGGACCGATTTTCGGTCGTAATCCGAGGCATAAAAAAATAGAAATATTTGGTCGAGAACAGAGACGTTCGAAAACCAAGGTTTGACTGTACTGTATCGGTATCGGGCCGATACATTCTTGTTTTGAGGTTTTGGCTCCTCGTGGAGTCTGCCAATACAGCCACCGATGCTTAAGGCAAAGAAAATCGGACATCGAGTAAGTCCTCCTCGGCAGATAATGTGGCAGTTTGACACAACAGCTAATCACTCATCATTTGTGTCAGAAAGAGTTTTTTTTTCATAATATTTTGTCATGTTAAAATGAAGAAGGCAGAGGTCCTCGAGGTCTCGGTACTCTGTTTGATGAGCACTAAGAGTGAATGTTTGTGTTGGCCTCTGAAAAAAAAGTGATATTGAGCATCCCTAAGTTTCTAGAATTGCTACACGGTAGTGGTGTTAATCATCGTGAGAGAATTATTATTTTGATTATCTTTGGTTTTACATTTGTTTTTCATTCAAATGTTGACTGCATTTATGAGTTCAAGACTGTGTTAAATTGGTTAGTGATGAACTACAACATAGCAGGTGGGTGTTGATGGGTGCATTTCTGCCTGTGCCAATCAGTCACTTTCGTTTTGATTGCAGTGTCCGTCTCCGAAATGTCAACTTGTGACATTGTGAAGGCAAAACTGTCAGCATCCTTTTATGACACTAAACAGACCGTCATGCATTTACTCATCATGCACAGTCTGAGAATGATTGTTTTTGAGGATTTTAACCCCAAGTCCATGAGAAATTTGCTTCTAGAAATCTGTCAGAAACTCAAGCAAGTGCAAAATATTTCATATTTGATGTGATTTATTTTTACTGTTGATTTTAAACTAAAAGTAAAAATCAACATTTTCAATTTATGAGTATGTATCCATTTGTAACACCGAAAGCCAAAAAATATTCTCTTTTTAAAAGCATATTATGCATAAATAACATGAGCTTTTAGCGTCCTACCTGTGCAGCTCCAACAAGTGTCTGGATTCTTCTTATGATCAATCCTGTGTTGTTCGAGCAGATAATCCGACCAATTTCCTGCTCACTGACTCACTCTCCCGGCGGAATCGTGCAGCAGTCTCCCAATGCGCCCAGTCCTCCGTCTCAGCGGCTAGCGCACCATTGTGTCAGCGACCCGCTGCTGGTCCCGAGCAGGTCGCGTTCTGTCAACAGGAGCTGTCCGAATGGACCGCACTTCAGCGCCGCCGCGCCACTGCCACCCTCCTGTTAAGCGTCCGACCTCTCCTTTGTTGCTTGCAGCTTTGCATATTCTGCGAGATTAGGAGTCGGCCTGCTTATTTGTTCCAGCGCCCAACAAAGAGGCCACTCACCTGCTCTCGAACGGCTCGTTTCCACTCAAATTTGCCCTGCGCAACCGGGTCAGAATGCATCGTTGTAACACACAGACCAATGCTGATTAATGGCCTTTTATTATTAGCCTGATTAGCTCACTTTTGTGATGATCTTTTGGTTATCAGCTAATGCACATTCATCAGGTATGCAACCTAATCAGTTGTATTGCTGTGCAGAGAGGGCACAAAATCTAATATAACAATACATACACACACATACAGCACTGAATTACACAATTTGGACAGTTTCACTTCGGGGTGTAGTCACCTTTGTTGCCAGCAGTTTAGAATTCACAGAGTCTTGAGGGGGACAGTAAATGTGCACCTCTCCAAGCTGTACACTGACTGCTTGATATTGCAGGAAAGTTTCATTTCTTCAGTGTTGTCCCATAAAGAAGCCATGAGGGGTATACACATGTCACATGAAAATACTCTTTTTACCGTATAGTTTTATATTTATGCATTATGTGGGTAAATATGTGGCGTGTGTGTACTGTGTGTAAGTGACATAGGAGTGGATTTTCACCAAGCCCACTCCCACAGAAAAAAAAAAAATCCTGTCTCACCACAGTCCTGGACCATAGTAAACAATAAATAAATAATCCTGCCCCGTCCTGGTTAAAATGACTCCCATCCCATCCTGCTCCTGTTCAGACTGACTCCCACTCCTGTACCATTCCTATTTTGGAGCTCAGCAAAGTTACATTAATTAAAAAAATAAAAAAAAAAAACACAACTAATGTATGGAAAAGTTTGTTTCACCTTTTTCCCCTCATGGACTTCCTTCTGAATAATCCTGCTCCTGTCTGCTCCCATGAACTTTTTATATTATCCTGGAGCGTCCCAATTACATGATTAAAAGTAAGCATGTCTCCCATGTGTGTCTCTCTCTCTCTCTCTCTCTCTCTCTCTCTCTCTCTCTCTCTCTCTCTCTCTCTCTCTCTCACTCAAACTCCACACAGGAAAGCCGGAGCCGGGATCGAACCCATTCACAGTGCGCATATACACTCACCGGCCACTTTATTAGGTATACCTGTCCAACTGCTCGTGAACACTTTTTTCTTATCAGCCAATCACATGGCGGCAACTCAGTGCATTTAGGCATGTAGACATGGTCAAGACAATCTCCTGCAGTTCAAACCGAGGATCAGTATGGGGAAGAAAGGTGATTTGAGTGGCTTTGAACGTGGCATGGTTGTTGGTGCCAGAAGGGCTGGTCTGAGTATTTCAGAAACTGCTGATCTACTGGGATTTTCAC